ACTGTCTTTTTTTTATTTTAATTTAGCTTATTACTTACCTTCTTAAGCTCTTAAATCTACCGTACTGTCGTTGCCTAGTTATAATTTTACCTATTGTCTAAGATGCATAGCCTACCGTAACTACATGATTAAATATCCATACATTCACAAGTAAAAGTACATACTGAGTTATTATTTATTTATCATGAGTTACGGTTAGTTCAATAACTGATATAGGCTGTTTATAATGTTATAAATATGTTTTCATGAAAATACAAAAATCATTGTATACTGTTTTTACATAAATTGTTCATAACCTATTTGATATCTTACAACCATTACGAAATCGATCTATTATTATACTAGATAAGGGTAATAACAAATTAAATACGTTACATCTTATGTTTCAATAAGGTATGGTAAGTGATATTACGATAATAAAATCCAATTAAAATTGGAGGCCTTACAAACAGTGCTATAACGTATTAATGACTAGAGACTGATTATGCTTCTATTCTTTAAGTTATGTGACTTTTACAACTACCCCCCACCCACAATATAAATCATACCCCGATAAAGGCATCTTAACCCCCTCCTTGTTAAGGACTATCCTTGCATTCTTGCTAGGGACTTAAAATTTCTCTTGGTTTTAAAACTAAGGAAAAATTCTGGAACATAATATCATATTCGCACCCCCCTCATTTCCTTATAGCAAATACACGTGTAAATAGCTTAATCACTTTCAGACGTGTTATACATTCGACATTTTGCACGATTGTTGGTCTGGGTGGTCCTAATACTAAAACTATTATAGGAATGTGGCATTTTACATTTTTACTGCCCCCCACCTTAAAAATAGCGGGACCCCCGGATTATGGTTGCTAAATCTTTTCTATCGTGCTTGAGACATAAAATTTTGCATGGTTTACGTCTTAGGATTACAACTAAGAAACTATTTTAAATTTACTATATTGAACCCCGAAAATTTACTTCCCCGTACTTTTTATGACCACTGCACGTGTAGAGGACTAAATCAGTTTAAGAATTCTTAGATATTCGACATTTACCAAGATAGTTGGTCTGGGTTCTTATACCTGAAATATTCAAGGAATGTGGCAATTTAAAATTAAATCCACACCCAAATATACAAAAAAGGTGTTCCAAAAGGTAGGGACATAATTTACGTAGTGATTTCTCGGGGCAAAATGACAAAAAGTCAGTCATAAAGATAAATATGTGTATGTAAAAAATACAAAAAGGTGAATATCTGCTTAACGAAGCGATTTGGAAAAATGTGTTATTCTTCATTTTCTTCTTATAATTATTCATTTGATGAATACCTCCCGTAACAGTTTTCTAACCACTTTTAAAGGTCTTGCTGTTCAACTGCAAACTTAGTATTGGTATTTTACACACTTCACTTTTAAAAATTCCCCAACAAACAAAAATGGGGACCTGGATTGTAGACCACTTAGATGTGATTTACAATTATTTTCAATAGTTTTAGGGCTGCCCAAACCCCAGTAAAAAATCTTTATATGGCATTTTATCATAAGTTATGCTTATAGCTTTAAAACTGATATAGACCACCAATATTTAAGTTTCCATCCAAAATAAAAAGTTTATTACAATATTTTTACATTTATTCTTCATTATCTATGTGAAATAATGTCTTACAAACGTATCGACTTGTATTATAATTTTTCAAGTATCAAGTAATTAAAAAAATATATTGTATTTTATAATAAGGCATGGTAAGTACCAATACGGTAATATACGGCAATTAAAATAAGGGACATTAGAAACAGTGCTATAACGAGTACCATTATAGTTAAAATACCCCTCATATGTCCGACGGACTGGAATTCATGCAGCATTGAGTTTCATAGATGATTACGTCTGAGCTGGCTGTCCCGATAACCTCATTTCTCTTTTGTGTCTACACAAACACCTGCCTACAATCTTAGATTACCGCTGCAAGCTGTATTTTGTTTGGATTAGAGATTTGCGAAAAATACATCATTTTTTTATCACGCCAAGAATTACCTAATCCAAGGTACGGTTTTGGCATTTTATACGCTTTTAAAGTTTAAAGTTAAAACCCAACACATTGAAACCAAGCGAAAACTATAATTTCTGCAGTAAAAAATAAGAAAGAGAACATTATTCGTATAATAAACAAAATTTTTGTAGGCAGATTTTGCAAAAAATACTTCTCACGTTCATATTTATAATGCAATTAATTGGTGTAGGTTCTTTACTCCTGTATATGCTACAAGAGTAAGGCACATTGTTATTCATACACTACTTTAGATAAATATATCTTGTTTGGTGTATTGAGCAACGTACGATTATTTCACCGTCTATTTCACTAAAATTGACTTGCGTTTATTAATAATAGGACTAAGAGGATAGGAGTCAACATTAATGTATTGAAATATCTACTAAATATGAGTGTTCCTTTAGTACAGTAGTAACCAAGCTGGAAATCTTGACAAAGACGTTTGAAATAAATAAGGTATATTCAGCTAATTTGTTTCCCTGATAGAAAAGAGTGTTAAAAAAACAAACAACAACGAAAATCAATATTTATCTATTGCAGCCAAGAAGAATTTGGCACTGCCGAGGGGTTGGCACGCCTCCAAACTCAGGCATGTTAATAATAAACTTGACACATTTAAATGTTTAATAACGACACCAAACCTCACCAACTTTGGGCCTTACAGTTAAATCAAACTGCCATTGGGTGTCGTAAATACCTAGGCTTACCTAGTACATGAGGTTAAGTACAACAAAGGTTAAGTGCTATCTTGGAGGTTAAGTATAACAAAATATGCCCCTTAATATATAAGTTATAAACTATTTTCCCTCTTTAAATAGTTTTAGAAGACGTTTTAATTGTCGAGATGAGTTAACACACATCACTTAAATGTAAAAAAATCCAGAATAATTTAGACAGGTTTTATAGTAGTTTACGCAACGATTTCGTAAAGATAGTGTTAACGACCCGAGTACAAAATTTAAGGTACGAGCCTTGGCAAGGTACTTCTACGAGTGTCGTTAACACTATTTACGCGAGTTGCGTACACTACTTTACCTATGACATTTATTTAATTACAAAAATTCTCCACTAATATCTTTTATGAGAGGTTATATTTTAATTTATAGTCTCTCATTGTCACTGCCAATGATGCAACGAAACATGTACCAAACAATTTAATTGTTGATGTGCATCACTCAACAATTAAATTGGCCTAAAAAGCTGATACGTTGAAGTTTGAATCAATACAATTATACTTCTTCTATCCCAATCCTTGAACCTCATTGGTCCATTACCCGTGTTGTTATGAGTAAAACCATGCTGTTATGAAAGTAAACAATACTGTTATGTGAAACTTTTCAATTGTAAGAACTGAACTGAAACGGCTACTTTATAAAACGGTCGTAGGTTAAAGGTAACACTTTATTGCTTTTATCATCGAAACGATACGAAGTACAAGTTACATTAAAACAATATAGCAAGTCAATACTCTGTCTAATTTACGAATGCATCTTTTGCCATACCTTGTATAAATGAAGGTGAATTGATTGTAGAATTGATGATTACCACCATTTTTGCTTTGTCATTATTCTTTCCGAAATTTGAATCATACATTATCTTATTATCAGTATTATTTAATCTAAGATTAATTGGTTGTTACATTAACTTTTAAAAACCTAATATCATATTGTTCTGATAGCTTAATTATGAGATTCCAAAATCAGTTTATAAGCTGTTGAAGGTTACTTTCAGTAAAAATGAGAAAACTGTTTGGTAAACATTGTTTGAAGTTTTACACACACTTTACCTGTGTAGGTGAGATCCCAAAATATACCTGCTCTCGCCGCAGTGACGACCCTGTGAGGCCGTGTAGTTGCTGCCAACAAACCGTGCCAATGTCTACAGACTGAGAGTATGTGTAGAGTGTGCTTACAGTAAACAAGGTTGTTGGCAAACATGTGATTTATAAACGGCTTATTTAAATTTATGCCACAAAGTAATTACGACTACGAGAATTGTTTTTAAACTGATTAAGTGACAATAGTGTGTAATGCAAATTGACCTCACATTGGAAACACCGTTGACTGCTTTGGTGAAAAAAAAAACTTCAATTTGTCCAGGATGTGAAAGAGCTAAAAGTGTTTCATTCGAGTTGCGAGCGACTTTTGTTGCATCAATTTCAATTATTAGCAATAAATGTATTTATTATGTGTCATGTGTGCCAAATATTTATTTTTGTTTTACACTAGCTATGGTTTAAAATAAGAGTTAATAAATCTAAAAATATTATTAATACCTAATTATTATGGAAGTAGTAATTCAAATCTTTAGCTATACGAAACTGTCAAATACATAATTTACAGTATTACTATTACTATATATGAACAGTTTACTATGTGGCTATTTAGTAGTAGTGACGGGTTATGGTTTATTGATTTCCTAGCTTGACAAATGCATTTGTTTTGCCTTTTATTAGAAAGTGTTAGCCTACTACTGACTATTACGTAGTACACAGCCTAATCTACTTACGAGTCTATGTGGCCTAGTTGTAAAAATTTTAATAATTGTCTACAGAAAATTTCGACTACCTTGTTCACCATTCTCAAAATGAAACCGTTTGCCTATTCTGTTTTAATATAATCTAATAAAGGATAGATTTTAAAACACGTTATCTTACATGAAAGTATGGATAGGCCGCTACTTTAAATTATTTGCAAATCAACAACAAAAGTAGATTGTATATACAACTTTTTATAAACACTTAATCATGGTCTAGAAAGAGAGTTATGAGCGTTTGATATGATTGAATAATATATATATACGTTATTTAGGCACTTTAACTGGCTATGACGAAATAAAAAAAAAATTATGATATATTTTCTAACTACCGTGTCTTTTATTAGTAGTAAGTAACAATCCAAGTTTCATATTGTTGTTAGAAGATAAGTTAGGGGAGGGAACAATTATAAGGTAAGACGTGTGTTTGGAGAAATATATTTATTTACAAACTTAGTCAGTGAAAAGAGGGCTTAAGAAGGAGCTCAGGCCTTAAGCCACCCGTTTCACGCGACTTAGTTAGCACATAAATTAGTCAACGAAATAAACGATCAATAGAACCATTGCTTAACACAATACAAATTTATAAAATTATAATAATGAGATCATTGTTTTAAATAGTTACAATACTTTACAGTAAAACTATAGTAAAATATACGTAAACATTACAAACAAATTAGTATTTACAACTCTATAATACAACTTAGGCCATAGTTATAAATATGAAGAGATTTAATCTAGTTCCTGTATTTATCGTCGATAAAACTTTCTTGATTATAGTTACTAATTCTAGCAGACAAATTTACCCTTTAAATACAAACTTTAAACGTTTCACCTCGTTACGCCCTAATTAACTGTCTTTCACTGCAAATAAAGGCTTTCCGTTCGTTCTGTGTCTAGTTTGACTTTTGATTATTCTACTTAGCACTCATTTATGCCGGACTAAAAAAATATTACATCTTTATATCCAAAAGTATCATAGTGGTACAATGACTAATTATTTGTATTGATTTGTAAATCATATACGTTGTATTTTATTACTTTGATTCATTTATGACCGATGATGTTCCCGTAGTTCTTTAAAAAGTTTCTACTCATTACGATATTGCGATATCATACCCGACAAAAACTACCGTAATTTAGTTCCATAGCTAACAATACAACGTCTTCACGGAATTAAGCGAACAGTTCCTTCATTTAGCCAACATACAAAAACAGTTAATCGTACACAAAACTGCTGTTTTTTACATTTTTGTTTAACATGTATAATATTACACTGAACGTATTTGGAGTACACAACCAAAAACTTGCTTATCACAGGGAAATGAGTACTGTAGGTTTTGACCATCAACAAAGATTACAGTGCTTACATATAGATTTTAAACAACTTGCTATCTAATCTTAACCCTATATTTACAACTCCACTCAGATAACACTTAACAGTAAATATGTATAATTTATTACGTAGTATATTTTCCTCGTCCTCGTTTGGATGAACTTTGAGCGTAGATACCTTACAGTCTTTTAGTGTTCAGAGGATGTCTGGAGAAAACTTCACCTTCTTCACACCTGAAAGAGATAATAATTACCTGATGACATGTTAACATAACACTAACGATTGTTAGGTATCAAACATGGTTTTGAAGGTCTATTATTTGTAGATATGAAATTATAATATAACAAATATGATACAAAAGGATAAAGTTAGAAAAGAATACCCCAATTGATTGCAACTAGGAAAACCTTCGAGGAATAGCTTTATAGTGGCATATATAATGCTATTACTACGTAGCATTGCCTTTAATCATTATTAGTCATTTGATAACCAATATAATGTGATAAAAAGTACAGTATATAAAATATAATATACAAAACTTATTAAAAATATGAATTTGTGAAGGGGTTATAAAATAAAGAAAATAAATACACATGCTTTGTCATTTATTATTGCAAGAGTAAAAAATATCTCTTTTTCGACCAATTAATATGCAAATACTATTAAATTCCCTTATTGTTTATATTTTTTCAATTATTTGTAAAAGTATGTTTAATTATATTAGCTTGTATGGTTCCTGCTGTTTTATAGAAGCTAGTTTAACGAATGCACCCAAGAATTAGTTTATACGTTATCAATTAGCGTAAAAGATTCTACATTTATTGTGTGTGTTGCATATAATCAAATTGTTGTGCCCTTAAATATATTAAATTAAAACCCATTTTGTTAGAGCCACTTCTTTCATTGTATTTAATAACAAAATCCAAAAATTAAAGTAAACATGAAACAATAATATATCAAACCAGATGACAAGCAAATAAACAAACTATTAATGTAGACCTCAGGACATCTCCCTCTTAAAGTTCTTCTATGAACCTCTTGGCAGGTTTAACAATTCTGGTAGGTCTGTGTATGGTTGAAGAATGATTATGTAGGTTGGATCTTGGTGTATGTGTCTGTCTTGGAGGAAGTGTCTGTGTATGGGGGTTTTCTTTATCAGGATTTTTTCTTTCTCCAGAGGAGAACATAGGGAATAAGAATTTTGAATTCCTGATATATCTTCCTCCCTTTTTTGTTTCAACGTTATATTTCCTGTTCTCTAACTTCTCCTTGATTACCCCTTCTTCTCTTCGGTCCGATACCCAAACTTTAGCGTTTTCTGGGTAATCCTTGACCTGGGTCACTCTATGTCTTTTATTGAACTGTTGTTCCTGTTTCCTCTTTTCTTCCATTTGTCTAAGTCTATATCTATTGTGATTTGGAGTGGCTGGAAGTAGAGTTGCTTTATTCACTGGTAGATTTGTTCTTAAAATCCGTCCCATTAATAGTTGTGATGGGCTATAACCACATTCCTTTGGCGTCGTATTGTATGCCAATAAGCCCAGATGTCTATCCTTACACTTCTTTAATATGTTTTTGAAGATTTTCACACCACTTTCAGCTTGACCATTGCACTGATGATGGTACGGTGAACTAGTTTCCACTGTGAAGTCGTATTCTGATTTGAATAGTTCCCATTCTTCTGATAGAAATTGCACACCTGAGTCTGATCTAATTGACTCGGGGATGCCATGCTTTTCAAACGATGTCTTCATTGATTTAATCAATATTGCCGTTGAACAACTAGATACCTTATATACATCGATGTATTTGGAATAATAATCCATGAGAATTATGTATTTATCATTGTTGAATTCACAAAAATCTACTCCGATTTTCTGCCAGGGTCTTTCAGGAACCTCTGTAGGAATCATAGGATGGCGAGGAGGCACTCTGTCAGCAATGCATTGCGGGCAATAGGTTACTTTTTGTTCGATGTGATGATTAATTTTGGGCCACCATACTGACATTTTAGCCCTTTCTTTACATCTTTTAATACCTTGATGACCTTGATGAATATTATCTAACATTTCTTTTCTCAAAGATGGAGGAATCACTATTTGATTATTTCTCATAAGTATATCTTCATTGATCGACAATTCTGCTTGATGATCCCAGTATTCTTTTAATCTTTCATTTAATAGGTTCTTATTTTTAGGCCATCCTTGAATAGTAATATCTAACAATTCCTGTAATTCTTCTCTTTGATTTTTTTTTATTACATCTAATTTATTAGATGATACTGGGATTGATTGAACTACTGTTCTTACACATGCTTCTGCTTCTTCTGCAAGTTTCTCAATATCTTCCTCTTCAGTTTTGTTGATTGGCGCTCTTGATAAGGTGTCGGCAGTTGTTAATTGTTTTCCTGGTACCCACAATATGTCGTACGAATATCTCATTAATCTCATTTTAAATCTCTGAACTCTTAGCGGCAGTTCATCCAAACCCTTACTACTTAAAAGAGGAATCAGAGGTTTATGATCAGTTTGAATTTGAAACTTCAATCCTGTTATAAAATTTTTGAAACGTTCACATGCCCATACTATTGCATAAGCCTCCTTTTCAATTTGTGCATATTTCTGTTGAGTCGGTGTTAAGCTCTTTGATGCGTAGGCCACAGGTTTTAAATGTCCTTGATGTTCTTGCAAAAGTGTTGCACCCAAACCATAAGCTGATGAATCGGCCGAAATTATAGTTCTCCTTTTCAAATTGAATGGTATTAAGGCAGGAGTTGTTTGTAAACTCTTTAAGGCTGTTTTAAATGATTGTTCTTGACTAGGACCCCAAACAAAAGCCCTATCTTTTTTTAGTAGTTCCCTCAGTGGTTGAACGATATCAGCAAGGTTTTCTATGAATTTTCCGACATGATTCAACATCCCTAGAAATCTCCTAACACTTCCCACATCACTGGGTGTGAGGAAATCGATTATTGCTTGTAAGTGTTTGGGATCTGCTTGAATCATACCAGAAGAAATAATGTGACCTAAGAATGAAATCTTTGTTTTTCCTATTTCACACTTGTCATTTAAGGTAACTCCTTCTTTTTCCAATTCTTGTAACACTCGGTCTAGTCTGCTGTCATGCTCGGGTTTACTTTCCCCGGTAATTAAAATATCATCCATATAACACAAAATTCCTGGGATGTCTCCAATAATACTTTTCATCCTGTTACAAAATATTTCCGGGGCTGTTGAAATTCCGAAGGGAAGTCTTTTAAAACAAAATCTACCAAATGGTGTTATAAATGTTGTCAATTTTGAGGAACCCTCATCTAGCGGTATTTGCCAAAACCCCGAATTAGCATCTAATTTTGAATACCATTTGGAATTCCCTAGACATCCAAGTAAGTCCTCAACAGTATTAAAAACGTTATTTTCTCTCTGTAAATGGTTGTTTAAAGCTGAAGGATCAATGCATATTCTTACACTGCCATTAGGTTTAGGTCTTACCACCATTGGATGACACCACTCCGTAGGTCCGCAAACTTCTTCAATGATTCCCGCTTCAACCATTCTTTTAAGTTCATTTTTCACTTTTTCTCTTAATGGAATAGGTATGTTTCTAGGAGTTTTTAACTCCATCGGTACCGCATTTTGTTTCAGTTTAAGTTGAGCTCCTTTCTTCATCTTACCAATCCCATTAAATAAACTTGGATATTTATTCTTGATCTTCTGTAGGTCTGTGTTGATATTCTGGTTGCTACAATATTCACTTGACTGAATGTCATTTTTAACTCCTCTGATGACCCTTAAGAACCCTAGGGCTGAGATGCATGGTTTCCCAATCAATGCTTCCTCTTGACCATTGATCACATATATTGTTTGACGAGTTGTTTTATTCTTATACTGAATTACACCTTCAAATTTACCTAAAACTGTTAAATACTTCCCCCCAGGTGTTTTTAAAACAATGTTTGATTTAGTCAATAATTTGTTTCTAGCCATTCTTGGAGGCACAATCGTCACGTCAGCTCCACTGTCAATCTTGAAATGTTCCAATTTCCCATCAAGTTTTACATCAATTTCAAATTCATTCTGTTTATTGTAGTTCCTTGTTGTCGCTCTTATTTTCTTAACTTCAGCTCTGTTAATGTAATACCCGTCCTCGCTTCTATTATCCTGTTCCAATCTGTTCTCGGTATTTTCCTGAATTTGATTCAGGGTTGGGTTTCTGTATTTATTGTTCTGATTTCTGTATTTATTATTCTGTCTCTTTTTACAACATCGGCTGAAGTGTCCTTGCAATCCACAGTAGTAGCATTCAATATTCTGAGCAGGACATTCCTCCTTAGGATGCCTCTGTCCTCCACAGTAAAAACAATTAGAAGTATATTGTCTTATGTTTTGTTTCAAGTTCGGATGTTTTTTCACTTGGTCTATTTCTGCAAAATCTTGTTCTCTTGATCTGTTAACAGTAATTTGTTGGTTCTTTATAATTTCACTTTGTTTCAATCTATTTATTGTTTCATGCAAGGTTAGGTCAGCCATCAGTTGAAGTTCCTTAGATAACTTTGAATCTGTTATTCCAACAATGAGTTTATCCCTAATAAGGCTGTCTTTCATGTCTTTGTAATCACATGAAGAAGCTAATTGATGTACATCTGTTATAAAATCGGATATCGGTTCATTTTGCTTTTGTACTCGTTGATTGAATTTCGCTCTCTCATAGGTCAAATTCACCCTTGGTGTAAAATACTTATTAAGTTTTTCCACCACTTTAACATAAGTCTTTTCATCTTCTTCTGTTACTCCTGCTGCTATTAATACATTTTCTGCATTATCACCCATGGATATTATAAGGAAATTTACTTGCTTTTCTCCATCTATTTGATCTAAATTGGTAGCATTTCTGTACCTATTGAACTTTTTTAACCATGGGCCCCAATCTTCTGGTTTAAAGGAGTATTTATCAATGAAGCCCAATGTTGCTGAATGTTGTGTCATTTTAGATGTTTGTCTTCTTACTGTTATATCTGAGTTTTCTGAGTCTGACATTGTAATGCAGCATATATATTAGACACCCTGTTACTCAATTTATTGGGTCTTTACCGCTGCCACCATGTTGTGCCCTTAAATATATTAAATTAAAACCCATTTTGTTAGAGCCACTTCTTTCATTGTATTTAATAACAAAATCCAAAAATTAAAGTAAACATGAAACAATAATATATCAAACCAGATGACAAGCAAATAAACAAACTATTAATGTAGACCTCAGGACACAAATTTTAAGCCTTAAACATCTAAAACATTTATAAATATATGTTTTAGCTATTTTACTTCCTTCCTCCTCTTTCAGCTCTGTCCAGGGTATTCTTCACGCCAAGGAGCTCGACCTTGACCGGGATGCTGTATATGTCATAATATACTAAAGGTGCGATCCCTAAGACCTCCCAACTGAGTTAGAGAGGTGACATGTTGACCTTACCTGAAGGATTGTGTCAAAAAATACCAGGCTTTTGTCTAATAGAGTAGAGGGGTGTTTGAGTGAGTAGTCTAATCAACTTATGAGTCTCATAAAACTCTGTTGAATTTGTTCTACCTTTGGTACAAACATATTCCCTACACTCGCTTGAAATAAAAACTCCTCTATTTACCACCACCTTGCCTCCCTTTGCCATAAGAAACCTACCAGTCTTATGCTAGACGATCTCTGCAGTAAGGTGAGCCCTCTCCTTGTCCCTTGGTTTGTCTGAAGGGTCCGTGATATGCACCACGTCCTCCCCCGCGGTGTAGGCGACCAGCACCACCTCCACACTGTCGTGGCTTTTAGTCAACCACCCGCGGCTGTTCTCCTATAGGCATACGTTGTTATGAAATACAAGTTATACAAGTTATTTTTGTTATAATTAAAAAAATACACACTTTTATGGGATTTCCCTTAAAGGTTATGCTACTGATAAAGAAATTTAAAGAATTCTTTTTACTGATATTATTGGGAAGGGTTTACACGAACACAAGTGCTACGTGGTAGTAGGGCTTACTATCCTTTTCCTCTCTCCCGCCTTTGAAAGCAGTAAAGATTTATCCGATAAAGCAGTTTGAACCCTCCGTTTGCCATTCACACAATACTAGGGGATTTCATTTTACATCTAAACCTAGCCAATTGTGTATGTCTTATACTCTACGAAAATAATCTTCTTGTAACATCATAGTTTCTATTTCATTGTACTAATATAAATATAATTAGATTGAAATAATCACAATTAATTAATACAACTGCAATCACTGTACAATTAACTATTTACGGTATTAACTTTGCTGCAATTTTAATAGATGGAGATAATTTTAAATGGTTCTCATGGCGTCTGAGGATACTCAAAAGTAAAACACTTTGTGCTCCTGGTATTCCCATGAAAAATTGCATATAGTTATAAGAGTGGTTCTATAGAATAAATGGTAGAACCTCGATAACAAGACTCTCATAAAAAGACTTGTTATCAAGGTCGACTTATTAATAAACAAGCAAACTACAACAGTTAACTTATTCTCCATAAGAATAACATGGGTGTTTTAAATTTACAATTTTTTGTAATTTTCTCCGTAACCATTAGGCGCATTATAACTCTTCAATATATTAAATTATTTGTTTTTTTTAAGTTCTACAAAATAGTTTAGAAATAAATTGCAAAATTTGATGTTTTTTGGGTCAAAAATGGGAAAACCCTTTTTTACCCCATAAAACCCCCCATAAACCCCCGTTCCCATGGTCCGATCACGCTGGTTCGCGAACTCGTCCGAATGTAGGTTTACACGTTTGTACCAAATTTCATCAAAATCGGATCATTTTTGCTCGAGTTATCGCGCTAACGGACACATATATATGTAAATATATATATATATATATATGAATTTGAACGGATGGTATTTTTGGCCTCTAGGGACCTCAAAATGAAAAAAAAATCGGTCCCGGGTCCAGGTCTTACCATGAGTACTACGGTAATAGCTTATTCCCTATATGGGAAATTCGCTAATAAAATTCAAGGTGATTAGAAAATGACAATTGTTAAAGAGGGTGACTTGTTACCGAGGGTCTTGTTATAAAGGTGCCACTGTAGTTTTGATCATGATAATATTTTGAAAAAAAAAAACTATTGGGGAGCACTACATACCTTTGTTTTTGAGTGGTTGGGCTGATGATTGGCTGGTGGTGGGCCCGGAGGAGAGTCCCCTTGTTTGTTAGGGATGACTACAGAGGTAGGCAGGAGTGTCTCCTGGCAAGTTTCGTTACCATTGCAGGTCCTCTCAGACCTCCAGCCTCCCACACGACCCGCACTACCTTGGCTGCCTGGACCACCTGATCTACCAGCGTCGAAACACGGCAACACCTGCGCAACCAAAGTCTTACATTTTAGCGTCACTATCAGCTCTTTCAGCTATAAAACAACAAGGATTGCATGGCTTTTATTTTGATAATTGTTGGAAATAAAGTCTTTTGTTTGGTACCAATTAATACTGTGAATGGTTGTATGTACATGCATGCTCAAAATTATTTTCTAGATAATCACCTGTTTGAATTCTTTCCTGAAGTTGTCATTGAGCCAAGCGTACAGGAATGGGTTGTAGCAAGTCGATGACATGGCAAGGGCGTGCACCATGAAAAAGGATAAGTAGTAGTACTTCCACGTTCCCGTGGGGATGTAGATGTCATTCAGTAGGTTGATGAGGTTCAATGGCAACCACGAGACTCCGAATATAGTGACCATTGCGATCAGCATCCGGTTGGTTCTTCGTTTCCTCTCACGGTCAGCCTCCTCTTTGCGGGTGTTCTTGGACCCTGGCTTGCAGCGCGCTCTGTCGTTCAGTTTGAGAGAGACTCGTACGTAACAAAACGCGATGATGAAGAATGGAAGAATAAATTGCAACGTTGCTGTCATCCCACCATACGCCTGAAACAAATATTTTACAAATAACATAATTGGACTACACCTTTTTTTTACCAAATTTTAGTGATTATATTCCAACAAGTTTTGGTTTATTAGCCCCTTCGTTCATTTAAAAGCAACAGTCTTCATGTTAGCGTTCATGTTATATATTGAGTTTTGTTTGAAACGTATATTTTTGAGTATATTGATTTTAATTTATTGTTGATTAAATATATAAAAACTGTTTAGAGTTAATGCAAATTGACAATATTATTAATCATGCAACATATTAATAATACAAATTATAAATGATATATACTCATAAAATAATAATAATCTTTATTCCATCAAAATATGACCACTGAATACATCATGCAAATAGCATTGGACATCATGACGTAAAGATAGTTTTATTTATTTAAACTTGGGACTTAAATAGATTTAAAAAAATATTTATTAATGCACTTGAAAACACTTTGATTGTGTGGAAAACAATTAAAAGAGTATTTGTTGTATGTTTACTGGGGAATTTTACATGTGTACCAATTAAATAGTAATATATTATGATTATTTAAGCACGATCAATATGTCTTATTTTCTACTACGATACTTTGTTTTATTAGTTACTAAATAGATAAATAGTCTTACAGTGATTGGAGAAGAAACATAATAGCAAATATTCTATACAACTCCAATTGTAATTTTATATTGTTTTATTTCTAGTAGGCCTCATATTTTCATCTTTATAATTAAGTATTAGCAAATAATTTTACTGGAAAGGCTTACCTATACAAATGCCAGTTGATGTTAATAATGTTATGTTACGTTTTAATGCGAGCTTTTGTATCACCTTCCGTTCTAATTCAAATACCAATAGTTCCTAGATAATAAGTACAATATTTACCGGGCATAACGACCTCAGATTAAAATTCTCTATTTTATAACCAATTTTTATTATAAACAAATTAAGGCAGCAAAAATATATAAATGATGATAATGGATAAACTAATTCAATCAGATTTATGACTAGGTTGGCTGTTGGCTAGCAAATTCCGTATTAGTTATTTCGAAATAGTACTCTAGTTATTTCTGATGAAAATGCAGATTATGTAATGCAAACTACTCTAAATTACCCTGTATGGCTTTTGCTTATGATGTGATAATTTTCCAGTAACAAAAGGCAGTTTAGAGGATTGATCAAAGTTAGTCAAGAACATTTGAATACAAGAGCCGATAGTAACATTCTGGCTTCATGTCCGAGGCAAAGATGAACATTTACTACCTTGCTACTACTACTACAAATAATTGGACAGCAAATTTCACGTGCGAAGTGAATCGTAGTATTTTAGAGTGAGCTTCACATACGAAGAGAAAGTTGAGGACCTGAAATTCAAGATAATGTTGTAAAATACCGTTTGGTAAGAGCTATGATACTTCTTATTACAATGCAAATATTTACATTGCGGAAAGTTTGTCCGTTTACATTGCAAACAGTACAATCAGCAGATTTCTATTAATTGTGGACATATTTTCTAATGAAATACCAGTAAGGCAAATTAACAACTGATTGAGAGCAAGATAAAATAAGCTTAGAGCCAGGAAACCCCAGCTGATCGTTTTCGCTTGCCCCAAACTTGTGGTTAGGAAACAATTCGTTATTTTAGTTTATATCAGCTGTCATCCAAAATAGCTACCTCCTATCCGTAGGGCTGAAAAGTGTATTAGTAATTGTTACCCAACTTTGGACTGCCGTAATAATAAACATTACGACAAGTGATGTAAAGGCCGCCTGCTATCGCATCCTTGGTAACGAGGGAGGGCCTCCTTGTTTGATCTGCATTATAGCGGTCTATTTTTATCGTACACTAACTCTACACGATATTTATACACAATTTCTGTATTCGATTGCCGTAATATTGTAGTTTTTTTTAGGATAATATTAAAAAATAAACAACGAAGCCAAGACGAATGGATTACACTCTAATATAGAGTTTCCATCGGATTTATGTACACAAGTGTGTACAACAACAAAAATTGAATAAATTTAAATCACGATAACAGACACACTGCTCTTAAACATAAGTATATTTGAATGCATTACTGTAGTAACTGTTGATCACATGCCAACGCGGGAGTGACCTACTGGTCTAAATGACGACAGATGACGTAATGGCAGCAGATTGACGACTCTCCGGTAACGAGGTTCCGCCTCCGTGTTTGATCAGCAATCAACTCCTCCGTCGTTAATTCGTCGTGCAAACAAACCATCTTGGCAAACTTCCATCACCACCACCATTCACCACCGCTACATCCTACGCTCATGTGATATACTTCCAGGAAGTAAACATTGGTAAACCTTGTGCATTCCTCGAGTGGATTAAATCAAGTTGTTCACAAATGTTGTTGATGCACGTGTGAAATTGAAGGTAAGTAATCAAGCGTTCTATAAAACCATATAGTTGTTTTACGTAAACACATAACACATTTTACGCTAAATTAACAGTTTCTGTAATATACTCGTACATAAGTTTTCAAAGTCCAATTTAAATCAAAAGTAATGTATTATTTAGTATATTTCTTTTATACACACTCAGCCTTGAGAAAACGAACGACAAAATTAAAGTACATTGATTTGAATTAGAAGCACTTAACACGCCAAGAAATTTTACATTGTTCACTTTTTCCAGAAACAAAATTAAATGTTTAAGATGTAGTTTCCTTAATAAAAAACATTTTATAAGCACAGCTGTCACACTCGTGAGCATCATAATTCAAAATCTATTTTGTAAACAACTCGACCTTCTTGAATTTAGTTCTTAAAATGTTCAAACATGTACATCATGTTTTTACAACTGACTTAATTTATGTATTTAAACGAGTGTTTTTCACATTCAGTGATGGAAAAACCCAGAACGTCAATTACTTGTTGAATACGCAGGACCACATAGACTATTTTAATCTCTAATAGTGTGAAGTCCTTGAATTTAGTGAACGTATCAGTAATACTTTGATTTCATCAAGCTTTACAATGTTTACAATACACATATATCCTCACACGATCGTAATCATAAATAAATTATATCACTGGCTCGAAAAAAAACATTATTTAACATTTCTAATGGGGAACAACTCAAACCAGTTTTAATGTAATAAGTACAGGATTTGGGTCAGTTAAGTCCTTTGTTTAGGTTTATGATCCATACCATTTTCGTCCTAATATGTATGTATCCTTGTATAACAGGAAAATCTTTGATAAAGATTTAATGATAGTATTCGTTTCTCCAACCAAAAAGATGCCTCTAAAATCAATGCCAGTAGCTAAGAGCTTTTAAGTCGAGGTGGAATTACGTACTATCGCCATTAAAGACAATAGAGGTTGTCATTTTCAGTTCAGTTACTGAGACAAAAGCGATTTTCCAGGTGAGATTCTGGGTGTAATGGCTATTACTGTTCGACATAATGGATACAACTAGAGGCGAAGTGCCTGGCCCCTTGGGTGGCTTCTAAATGGCTTGGTTTGTCATAGCACAGATTAAAGGAGTAGTGTTTACTCATTCAATCTATGGTCATAGTTGGTACTCTGTTAAAGCGCTTGCTTCGATTATTTATACATTAAAGAACAATTTTGAAGTGATTTATGTGATATTTTAAAAACATTTATGAAGCACATGCTTCAATATTGACAAAAAATAAAGTACATAAAGGCATACTGACACAAACGGCTAAACCAAAGTCAATCGTCCGTATATAACTCATTAATAATACAGAAAGTAAGAGATTTCTTTAATAAATACTTTTATGATGACGAACAGAGAAATACTAAAAAAAAAACAAGTAGTTTGATTAAAAATTGTCAAAAGACTTTGAGAATCTATAGGCATTGAGTAACCAGCAACTGTTATTGCATACATAAATAATTTAGCTAATGTCCATTGAAATTTCTTTGGACAGATTATAGGTATTAATGCTTAATAATGTGTGCTGAAAAATACACTCGGTTAAAATCTAAGTAGGGTTCGAGTAAGAGATATCATTAAATGTATAACTGTTGTACGAAAAAATACCACTAAAGCAAAGTCGATCGTAACAGCTGATCACGTCGTTGGGCTATAAATTCATTACACGAGCATATGAAATGAAGTAAAAAAAAAATAATAAAAAAACATGTAAAGACTTACTGTAGTGTTTATCCAACAACTGAGATAAAATAAGCATTATAAGCAGTGCTTTAAATATTGAAAAATATAATAACAAAAGCATTATATTGTTCGATAAGTAAGTGTTAATCTTGAACAAAAAAAAGAAAAGGTAAACATTTTTTTAAATTCATAAACTAATTTATTTTATTAATTAATTTCTTCTCACAAACAGGAGGTTTGTGATGGACTATAGTTAGTCAAAAGCAATTACTTTTGAAAATCTTTAGTTTATGCGATGCACAAAAAAAGCTTAATTTTTAATAAAATGAGAAAACTGATATTTTAAATCTATTAATCCGTACATCAAGTTTCGGAAATGTTACTATTCGCTTGATGAAATCTAAATGTATATAAAACAGTTGGATCGTTGTATGAAAGGAATAACCTCTCGGGAATATTAATGTTTGCACGCTTTATTTGAGTCTAGGGAGAACCCATATCCTTACAGATCTAGAACAAGTGTCCCTTATTTGCTGTAAGAGCTATTGTCTTAGGCCTACTTAACCAATTTCAAATCCAAAATCACAGAAAGCACTGGTCTTAATGCTAGACATGTATATATGATAGTAGTCAAACAATGTCAAAGCAAACATGTAAATATTATAGTGAGGTTTGAAATTAGCAGTGAAAGTAAAATTAAACATGTATAGTAGTCTACAGGATGGGGAAAATGTGGTTACAAGGTTTAAAAGGCAATATTTTTTGCAAGGGTCGATACATTTATATTGGAAGAGTAAATCAAGGAAAGCGTCAACACAGTCAGTGTAACACTGTGGCTAAAACGTAAACCATATTTAGTTCATAATAAAAAATGAAACATTATTTATGGTTTTCTTACCTTAGGCTACAAAATATCTCTATAAACAATTTAAACGCATTTTCGAGGTACAAACCTGTCTAAACTTCTCGGATGGCCAGTCTTCTTCACAGTAGTACCTGCCCTCTAGGCTGCGGTGGTTCATGTAGATGCCATAGGGCAAAGTGACAAGAAGACTGAACACCCAGATGATGACGATGATGCAGAGACAGGTAGAGAGCTTCATGCGTGGCTGGAACGGGTAGATGATGACGAAGAAGCGGTCGATGGCGATGGAGGTGAGCGTCAGAGTGGAGATGTAGACGCTGGTGCCTTGAGCGTACGCCACCATATGGCACAACACGCGGCCGAAGATCCACCGACCTGGGGAGCAGGTAATGCATTTTACAAACTTCATTGGTTTCAATATACAACATTATGTAGAAAATGTAATGTTGAAATGTTTAGCTAAACGTTTATTTTATTATTAACTAGCTGTTGTACCCGTGCTTTGCAACAGGAAGAGGTCACCAAATAGAAACATTTTAATCTTTACATCTGTTGCATATAATAGTCACACATCCACCAACGCTTTTAGAAACAAAATTAAACTTTTATGGCCTTAATAGAAACGTTAAAGTTATGACTTTTAAGTCTTGTTAGTAGTGGATACCACCATTTTGGTTTTGATTAATTTTAAATCTCATGTAGGCTGATATGAGAACAACTGACCAAATCATCGAATAAAACTTTCACATACATGATTTACCATCATTTCCCTTAATTACATATCTTCTTTCTTTATTTTTGACATGTTAAATTTCAACTTTGAAGTTGCAAAAATACTAAATTATTAAATTTAAATGAATTTTTTTTTTAATTTCACTCATTTTCATATTAAATCACAAATCCTTCCATCTTCAGTTTCTTCACTCACAATAAATCATTAGCAAAACTGAGTCAGCTGCTATAAACTTAAGAAATATTGTTGTACCTTATCAATAGTCTTTAAATTTTTTTTTTTTTTTTAGGGAGAGGAGGGAAAATGCTTTTACGCACACAGGTAGCCAGCCTGTAGTGTGAGACTCCTGAAAATTGTCAGACTACTCACTAAAAAACCCCCTCTACTCTGTTGGACACAGACCTGGAATTGTTTGTAACATTACTTCAAGTCAGGCCAACATGTGACCTAAGCCCTCAGGGCTCGCACCGTTTCTGCCATTTCGATTCTTAATGACCTACAACCGCATCCCGGTCAAGGTCGATCTTCTTGGCACGGAGAATACCCTGGATATAATGTGACACACAGGTCCAATTGTCGTCACCCTCCGTCATAATCGGTATGACCGTGTCCACCGACAGCAGTCCTATTAATTGTTGAGCCTCCAGGCGGGGCCTTTCCCAGCGCTGGCAGTGGAAAAATCACCAGGATGGCGGGCTCGGACACTGTTCGGTAGGCAGGTGCTACCCTCAGTGCTGCCTGACGCTGCACTCGGGCGAGCCGCATCCTGTATGCCTCCTTATTTAGTGCGTCTGCCCACACCTCCGCACCGTACAAGAGTACGGACTGGACCGAAGACATTAACAGCCTTCTACGACTGGACCGAGGCCCTCCGACATTGGCCATCAACCGGCTAAGAGAAGAAACCACCCTAGCGGCCTTGTCCGCTGTACGGAAGATCTGATCCCGCCAGCTAAGCTTGCTGTCTACCATGACCCCAAGATACTTGGCAGAACGAACAGTTTGAACCTCGACGGCTCCCACCCTCAACGGCACGATGGTGTCAATCCGTTTTTTTGTCAAAATCCCGATCTCGGTTTTGCTCAGAGCAAGCGAGAGACCGTGGTCTGCCATCCATGCGTTTATGGTACGCATAACTCGGTTTAGCTTTAGCTGAGCCAGCTCAACGCTACGTGCAGCTATCAAAGCTGCAACGTCGTCTGCGTACCCAACCAAGACTGTTTCCTCAGGCATTTCAGACCTCAGAAGGCTGTCATAAGCGACGTTCCAGAGGTCTGGGCCGAGTATGGAACCTTGGGCAGCACCAGAAGTGACACTCATCGTCCGCGGGTCCTCCGCAGTGTCATACGTTAGGAGGCGAAACCGGAGATAATCTTCTATGATGCGCATGAGGTATGCCGGCACGTGGAAGGTGTTCTCCAGAGCATCCAGCATATCGCACCACCTCGCCGAATTAAATGCATTTCGCACATCGAGCGTTACGAGCAGCACAACCCTGCGAGAGTAGTGGGTAAAATCCTCAGCTCTCATCACGGCTTGCTTCACCTCCTCAATCGCATCAATCGTTGATCGCCCCATCCTGAATCCATACTGACGAGGGGAGAGGTCCCCCGCAGCGACAACGGCTGAATTTAGCCGGGAACGGATCAATTTCTCGAGGACTTTGCCAGCCGTATCCAACATACACAGAGGTCTGTAAGAGGATGGCAGATCTGGGTCTCCCTTGCCCTTCCCAACAAGCACAAGCCTAGCTGTCTTCCAGCACAAGGGGAAAACCCCTTCAACCAGGCAGGCGTTATACATGCTCAAAAGGATCAAGGGGTTGTAGTCAAAACCTTCTTGAGGACTTCACCGGGCACCCCATCGGGACCAGGAGCCTTGTTGTTCTTCAGGGATATGACGGCCGCCACCAGCTCTTCAGGGCTGAAAAGTGGGACGTCGTCCACCCTTCCATAATCCCGCAGTGGGCGCAACGCGTAGGCCGGGAAAAGGGACTCGACTATCCTCTCCATAGACTTGGAACCCGCTCTCCACCTTCCGTCATGGACAGTCTTTTAAAATATGAAAGAAACTATATCTAAATTTTAAAAAATCAAACAAATAATTTAGTACTAAAGACAGCAGACAAAACTAAAATGATTATCAACGCATCAAGGACTAAAAAATGTTATAGCTAATACAGTATATGTTTCATTGCATCTCTGATTCTACTCTACAAAAATATCAACAAACAACTTTATATACAAACCAGTTCTTTTAATAAGTTCCATCGTCCATTGCCTTTAAATTTTCACACTTGCCATTAAGTAAACATGGTAACAGATATTTCATTGATTTTAGAAACAACAGAACACTGTGTACTGCTTAGTTTCATTGGTTTAATTTAAACAGTGGTGTGGCAAAAACAAATAATAAATGTATTAAATAAAGTAAATGTGAACTGAAAGCTATGTTAAGATAAAATAAGAGTATTTTGTATTACTATTTGATAATTAAATATAGTTACACATATACAACAGATTTTAGAACACAAAAATCAGTACAATTTAGTTATTGATGATATTCTTTAGTTTAATTTTAGCATAGGTTTAGCAAAACACAATAACTAAATTTACCTAAATACACATATAAAAATAACAATGTGATGTGCAAGCTAAGTTAATCTAACACATATTAAGCAGTTCAAATTTATTTAAAGTAGCCTCTAAATCCATACAAAACATCTGGTGAGAATACATTGTAATTTTCATACTGTTTCCATGAAAATATATCAATAACATTATTTTCATAACACTTTAGACACTTACAGTAAAACATCGAAAGCAGGGCGTGAGTTGATACAGCAACGCTTTTAAAGTATTTTTTTATTTCTATTATAATTGCCAAAGTTTTAGAATAAATGATCTTTGATAAATCTTTTGATTAAATAAACCACCCACATAGTGTGAAATATTATATTTAATTTCATTGGATCAGCTGTATTAAATTGTGAAATATGCAATTTGGCACTTCTTCTTGTTTACATTGAAATGTCATCGCAAATGTAAACAATGTGTGTTATTCTCATTGCAGCCATGGAGACCAATCAATATTTAATTTTAAAATCCTCATCCCAGAACTTTTAAAGCCAAAGGGGCAAAGTCCACGGTCAGTATCGAAGTGTGAATAGTCCTATAATGGTCTTTGGTATGGTAGCTATATTTTTGTAAAATTTAAGCCCATTTGGTTTAGTAGTTTTTGCACCTATTTGTAACTCACATACAGACAGACACCATTAGATTGTTATAAAATAGTATAGATTGAGTCAAATTAGCTAACAGACATGTTAGACCTGTAACAGAAAATTCTAGCATTTCATTAATCAAACCATCTTTGCTTATGCACGGAGAAAATATTTAATTAAATTAAAAACATTATCAAACATAGGGGAAACTTTTACTCTAAATTTAACTGATTATAAGTAATTAATTAATTAACTAATTCCAACAAAGCTACCTATCTCAATCTGACTGGCAATTAAAACAAAATCCTATAAAAACTCAACGTTGGAGATGGAATTTGAAAGGAATATAAGGCTGAATCACTTTATTCGTTTATAGCTGTATCTTTATTCTAGTCAACATGTTTATAATACCGTAGGTAAAATATTAAGGCCTACATTATTTTGTGGAGAGTATGCGTTAATCGACTGGGGCTAAGTCGTGTATACCTTTCTCATCAACATCACTTTCCCACTATACTAAGTCAATATTTACAATAACTTAGTACTATGTATATGATGGCTTTTGTTAAAATATATACGATATGAGGTGCGTACAACAAAGTATTGATTATCTATAAATATCGGTACAATTTTGGGAATCGTGATTTAAAAGAGTAAAATAATACTGAAGCCTTCAACTCAATGGTACTCGTTAAATAAATGTTACAACCGTTTTATGAGTTATCGAGTGAATGCGATAAACAAATATGAATTGGCGAGAGAACTTCTGTAAGTTATTGCATGTTGATAATGTCACTTTTGATCCTAAAACATACAATTCAAAATTTTTGTGTTGGTTAAAAAGATGTTTTTGTTACTTTAAACAAAACAAACGTTTACCAATATATATTATATTGACAATCTCTTACAATGTATTTATATTTGTTGTAGTTATTTGTCATTTTTAAACGGTTATTATGTTTATTGATGATAAGAATAGGCTTAGCTAGGAAAATGTTTAACTACAGAATTACTATTGTTGTATTTTACTTCTTTTTTACCATCCTATTTCTTAATCTTTTATCGTTTTGTTTTATGTATAGATTGCGTTTTATGCTGAAAAGCTTAGTTTATAATACCAATTTGAATGTTACAACTTTATCATAAGATAAGATAAAAACAAAAATGGCTAACATACGCTGTAATAACGACACAAGTCTAACATACTATGAAAAGTGTACCTACCTAAAAACGAGTAGAGAGGAGTGAACGGGACTGCAAGGACACATAGAAGTATGTCCGACAGAGCGAGGTTGGTGATGAAGCAGTTGGTGACAGTGTGCATAGCCTTGTTGCGCGCCACTACATAGCACACCAACACATTGCCGAACAGTCCCAGGACGAAGATGGTGGTATAGAGTAGACAGAACACTCCCTGTACAGCCTTGTCGTCTATTATATCCTGTCTGTAGGTGGAGTTGTAGTCATCTGTCGGAGTTGTGTTAGTGGAGTTGCTAGAAAACGTATCTATGTTGGCCCGCCTCAGAGCTTCGTATAGGGTAACGTTCATGGCTTATGTAAAAGTTTGCATTTGAAGGTTAGAAAGTGAGCTTACAAAACTTTATAGAACAATTTTAATAAATTTAAATGATTATATTGGTTTTTTGTAACTAAAATTTAAACAAATTTTGTTGGTGGATACAAAGTTAGGAAACTACTTTACGTAATTTTTCATAAAAGACATGATTATCTGTACCAAACAACCTAGTTGGTAATATATCACGATTATCAGTATACATACTTTTAAAAATACAAGCGTCATGTATGAGTTATGTTACAGTTTACTCATTTCGTCACGTATTTGATGGCATTTTCAAATCCATTGCACTCAAAACATCGCATTTAATTGCCACCTAAAATATTTTTATTTAACTCCATTTAAATTACTATTTCGGTTTCTGCACGCTTAAGGATTCATAATTTTGTCTGTCGTAGTTATTACTACTCTTGGTTGTCAAAAGTAGAATCTTCTTGATGGCCATGTTTAGTATCTGAAAGAAAATAATACCATTATTACAACCTTAATGGAATAGAGTAGCATTAATATAGACTACCGGTAAGTCTGAAAACAAATCGAAGTAGTTCTGTTATCTGTCAATTAACAAATAATTTTAATACGTATATGAACGTAGCTGTAAAGAATTTTAACCCAAGAAAAAGACATCATTTAAAAGTCATATTTGTGAAAGCATTAAAAGCTCCACAATTCGTAAGAGTTTTAAAAGATCTCGGTTTAAAAGGAGCGGAGACAGTGTAATGGGTAAACAGGAGCAAAAGTTAATGCAAAAAGCTGTAAACTCTTTGTCGGATTATTGCAAGGGCTACATTACGTTGGTTTTGTTCCAGAATATTTCTTTGTTTGAGAAACATTAGATGTTTTAAAACAATATAACAATGTAGTATGTAAAACAGATAGTGTCGCCTCTGTAATGACAACACTGTTGATGGGCTTTTTATTGTACTAAAGGAATGGCTCTGTTATAGTAAAAAAAAAAAAAAAAAAAAAAAAAAAAAAAAAAAAAAAAAAAACTACAACGAATAACGATTCTTATGGGAATATTATTTTAAGAGTGAAATCACGGCCGACGGGTATTCTTTCGATCTTTAAGATGGAGTATAGTTAGATTTTAAACTAAAATATGTAAGATTATTCAATCTTCTTATATACTACTACGAATCGTTTCTATGAACATCATTAATAACAAATTCTTTGTCCAAGGATAATCAGAATTGCTCTTAAATTTTCTTGCGGAATACTGAAATTGTGTATTTTTAGAAACATTTAAACTACAGGGGTTTGATTATTTAAAATAATACAAATGTTTAGTTTACTAAAATGAATTGTTTGTCAGTTCCTTAAATGTTATAAGACTTATATGAAAGGCCTGGAACCTCAATAGTATATTTAGTACCTAGGGCCAAAAATGAGGTTTTGCTGGCTCAAGATCATTTTTTATGTTCGAGACGAAGTCGAGAATAAGAATAATAATTTATAATAATAAGAATTCATATGAATACAAATTCATCTTAAATGAAAATTTGAATTTCGTATACATACATATGAAGTGTGTTTATGTGTGTAAAGTAAATAATAATAAATGTAAACGATGCACATACTAACAAATCTGAACATTACGATTTGGATAAAGATTTAAATATAATCGTACAACCTTATTGGACGTTTTAGAATTATAAAGTAATAACTGTGAATATAGAACAAATAAAGATGGACGTTGTTTCCATAATACAAATTTGACGTATGATACAAATAGTATAATACAAATAGACGTAATACAAATAGCCTTGACGTATGATAGGCTTCTTTGTTCAGAAAGCAATGATATTATACAGTATGTATAAAATAAAATACATATCATACTGGGTTGATACAAAAATAAGACAATATTTGTTTCAAAAGTATTGAAAACCTCTTCTTGACAAATAAACTACTATTCAACTCAAGCAGTAAGCCATTGGTAGGTGGCCGCATGTTTTCTTAGGAAATATAGCTGCTGTAAATTTTTGTACAGAACATAATGTATTTAGCTTATAAATGTATTAGCTATTTAGATTTCCATATCATTGTACCTCGTTTATTAAACATTCAGTGCTCAGTATTGGCATTGAACCCATAAAGCGATGTCGTTAAAATGTTTATTATTGACATAGTCACGACCCAGCGCTGGCGGCTATCCAAGCCTTTAGAGCCAGCATGAATAGCTGCATACTTCTGCGGCAATTCATAAGGTCACAGTCACAATATAAAATATAATAGTAATTCACGCATTGACTGATCGGTTGTTTAAAAAATATAAGAACATTTAAATACTCTACTACGGCAAACCTGCAAACCTGCGGGGTAGGCAAATTTTAAAATGTCTAATTGGATTCAACAAAAATATTACCATAAACGAGTCATATTTTTATTTCATATGAATTAACGATATATGTAAAGAGTACTTAGGTTTTCTGCTACGAGAAAAAGAAAATTGGTTTATTACTGAAGTTTTAATAGTATAGGATGAAATTAATAAGTTTCATATGTTAATCCAACATATCAAACAGCATATCGGGGGGGGGGGGGCGGTTGCTAAAGGTAATGTCTTATTCTTCATAGGGAAAATTGCAATGTATACTCATAAATAGTTCGAACGAGTCGTGTTTGCAGCCTCTGGTGACTTCAAAAGAAAAAAAGTAGATTAATAACAGTATTTGGAATTTACTGAAGCATTTTTAAAATCTCATGCTTATTAAAATACGTATACCATTTATTGGTTTAATATGTTAATATAATATAATATGATGAATATTATCCGAAAGTGTATTAATGGGTTTTTAAAAGATATGATGAGGAATGAACATCTATATTTTATTTGGCTTTTGATCCCGAATATTGTTTATACATTCAATTTCAAACACACCAGTAAGATGCAATCATGATCCATCAGTTGTAGGCCTATCCGCTCATGACTAACTAGTCAATCACTTAAGTAACACGTAAGCATGTAATAAGATGATGTAATTTGATGCATTAAGTAATGTAAGATTGTTAATGATAACTCTTTTAATTAAGTTTAGAAGAGAGATAAGCTACATAATATGGTAAACGCCTTGTTAATACTTTTAATTTAAATAAATATAATTCAAAGAGTACTTGATAGAACATATTAGTTATAATAAAATAAATGTTACAACTTATGTGTTAAGATACACATTTTGAGTCCTTGTATCGCAGATGTGGCTATCCAGTGTGAACCATATATAATTTGTAGCTGTCTGATTTTAAGGTTAACGTACCTTGCTTTTCAAAGCAACCTAAGCCATTGTTTCTTGAAGATTTTTAAAGAATTCATAAGATCGGGTACGAGTTCAATATTCAATTTAAATTATTACAATTACGGTACGTTTTAAGATTTGTATAGCTTCTAGTACATCTTTTAATCTAGAAACCCCGTTTGGTGATGTGTTCCTGTATGATAGAGATATGTGTTTTGGCAAAAAATAAACATTTTATTTCGTTTTACAAAACAGAAATTGATATTACTGATGGTAAATTTATTCACAAGTATATTTATAAATAAAAATATTATAACAATAAATTAAGATCACAAAAATAAAAATAAAATCTGTTCACAACAGATTAAGAATAAATTAGGCCTATGTAGAAATAAGACGAAGAAGTTAAGTGAATAATTTTATCGGACAAGGATTTAAATTCTTTATGTATTTGAAGTAGGAACCTAATTTTGAATGTATGGAAAACTAAAGCCGGTAACAAATGTTTTCCCTGTAAACCTAATGCATAACGGCACAGTCCGTTGGTCACACTGAAACCACGCTTTGCCTCTAAACTGGATATCCTTGGGGATCAATAAAGTATATAAAACCAAAACAAATCATAGATCAAAACAAAAAGTATTTCTTCAATCCAAATTCAGTTTTATTTTAAGAAATCTAACTTTAGGTTTATTCCATTTGATCAGTTTTTTCTTTTACCCTATGATCCAAAGTTCTTATTTATGATGATTATATAACCTTTGACAGAACAGGAAAAGAGGTAATATCGATTGTAGAGTATGGCCGAGAAACAACCTTGCCATTCAATGGCACTTCTTGTAAACAGTTGGCCTAAACAAAGTCAGTGACGTTTGTCCTAATGAAACTAGCAAGAACTCTAGTTACGCAGCCCAGGTAATATTTAACACTAACGTGCAAGTTTTGCAACAGAGTGGGGGAAATATTGTAGTGTCACAGAGGATTGGATAGGTTTTCTGTGCAGTTTGTATTAGGAATTATATTAAATTGTGTGTGTTTTTTTTATTATATTTTTAGAAGATGGAGTTGAATTGAAAACATTTTTAGCATTTTTAAACAATTAACTCGATAAAGAATCGGAAACATGTATTTTTGACCTTTGTTATTGTTAAAAAGAAAATACCAATTCTTATTTTCATATATTAAGGTATCTATTATAAGCGAGTGCGATTCTAGACATGCCATTTATGACATTGGGTTGTCTGAAATCTAACAAAAGCTAGATTTTTGATCGACAAAACCAAGAATGGACAGTTTCCTTGCAAAAAAGTAAAAAATCAAATGACCAAAGTAACTTTACAGAATAGATGTTATATTTACGAGACAAGCTATAACACCTTTCTCTAGTTTACATATTTTGTCTACAATGTTTCGTTCTTTGCATCCAGCTAGGAAAACGTGTTTTTAATCCTTCGTCGTTCATCATCGTTATTTGCATTTTACTTCAACACTTGTTTCCTTTTATACGATTATATAAAGCCTTTTTCAGCTGATAAAATGTATTCTTATAAAAGGTTAACTAAGAGTCTGTAATGTATTTTTTAATAGCATTTGCATATTTATTACTCCCGTTACTAGTTTTCTTTAATCTAAAGATAATGAGATAAAATAATACTTAAGTAAATCGTATGACTAACTATAATGCTTGTATATTTTACGAATCATTAGACTACATGATCTTGACTTGTTTAAACAATTTTATAACGAATACAACACCGGTCGAACCAAACATATAGTAATGAATACAAAAGTGTAGTATTTTAGAGATAGTGATAGAATTACGTACATTAATAACAGCAATGCTTTTCTTTTATTTACAAACTTATAATCAATGATATATTAAATAGTAGTTTGGTCAAACTCCAATGAAAATTTGTTCATATTTGGAAATGTGTATTTCGTCTATGGTCTTTTCGAAGCAATCCAAAATTCGTTCATTAAACTGTCAAAATCAGGATTAACGTTCTTCTTATACCAGTAAATACAAAGTATATTTTTCCCCTTTATTCCATAGCCGTTGGTCGTAATTTAAATGAGGGACTTACATAACGATTTGTGCATACATAACACACATATATGAGACAACCAACAAGCTGATGAGAAATGAGAGCTTGTTAAATGCATTTGTGATATGCAGGCTAAAACACGCTCTCTGACGAAGTGTAATTAGATTCGC